ATTTTCTCGATAACTTTACCTCGACCCATTGTACAATCCACAAACGGCAAAAAGCTTTACAATACTACAAAATACATTTGACCTAACCTAACCTAACTGACAATAGTATTGTTTTGATGATATGTTTAAATCCATAGCTACCTCTGGATTTACGTAATTATGAAAAAATCAACGTATGTTGACATAAGTAAATGCATAGCCAGGGTTTAGTGAATTTTTTTTATTGTTGAAAATAAATAAAAAAACCATAAGGGTAACGTTTTTAATCAATATTAATAAAAATGCCACATTAATTAATCTAGGAACATGCATAATTTGCTTATGGTAATAGACTTAAACTGCAAATTCCATAGGTTGGCCCACTGATACGGGAAGGGGCTTGTAGGCACATTCAAGAATAGAAAGTATTTTTCTCTAAACATATATAAGAAAAAACTGTACTTTGACTTCCTCTTGATAACCAGTGGAAAAGCACCAAAAACAAAAACAAACAAGAGTTTTGGTTTGGTTTCAGTTGTAGTTATTTTTTTGGTACCAAAAATGATACATTTGAGAACGTAAGTGTATGGTATTTAATGTGATCAGTATAAACAAACTAATAAAATCAAGATAAACAACAGAATTTTTAAGTGCATTATATAATTGTGTATAAAATATAATCTATTGGAAATACAATGGAGAGGTAAATTCTAGGAACTGATAAGAAAATTACAAACATCTTTGTGATTGTTCGAAATAAAGCCAAGTACATATTGATGTGAAAATATTTGGTACTTAAATGTAAATACAATCATTTTACTTGTTCTAATCATGCGAAAAAACGAAATTAGAATTTTAAAATTGCAGGAAGAAACATTTAATGAAGTATATAAATAACACTGAGGTCTGAAAATTGAAAAATATAAAAGATCGTTGAATTTTTAATTAGTTATGAATTGGTATACTGTTAGAAACGGTTTAGAATTGGTATGCGCAACAAAAATTTATCAGTCAGTTAATTCCAGGATAAAATTCTATAATTCCCATAGAATCCATTTAGATTGAAATAAAGTACCAGACAGGAAAACATTATTGTCTTCTCTTCTGAACAGTACATAGGAGTACACGGGAAATACTGCAAGAATGAGGGATGGAGTAAATGTATGAACTTTGCTGTCCAGAAAAAGATTTACTATTCGTATATCTATCATTACTTAAGAAAGTATGTGTATCGAAACAATTTCATTTTTTTAACACCACGAGAAGTAAAATTTGTTATAAAATGTTTATTAAAAGTTTTTAAAAATTATCCAAAATGGATTTATAAATTTTCAGAGCGTTATCGATCCTATCAGATAATCATCAGTGAAAACCTACAAATAAGTATAAGCACTTGAAAATGAAAACAAAAGGGTAAACTTTTGACTCTTTTAGTTAAATTTAAAGAGTGTTGACAGTTGCCCATGTGTGAGTATCTATATAAGTTCAAATTCTTGTATGTATGGAGAACCTGTAGAGTTTCAAAAGGAAAAAGGTGGATATTGTGAGAGTGCAATTGTTTACAATTGATGTGTTGTAATCATAAAAAGATGTAAATATATGACAAAAAGGAAGGGAGGAACATATGCACTAGTATCAAGCATAGTGGTTAAAAAATACTATAGGCAATTTGTATTACGTATTATTGATTACGTTCTTAAAAAATGTATTTTTTTATCATGGACCTAGTGTCTTAAAGATTATAATGTTACTAAACTTATGTAATTTAAGGGTCATCTAAACACATTATGTGGCTAGTTCCAACTACTTTATAGACGAAAGTATTGACTACCGTTTTGTATAAAACTTAAGAGGTCGCTGATTAAATGATATTAGAATAATAATGGAGAAAAATGCAATATTTTGACTGTAAATAAAAGTAGCGAAAATAGCAGATTTGTAAATGGATATGTAAAATAAAATGTTGTAATTCAAATAACAATTGGCAGATTTAATATCTTCACTTATACCTTTTGTCTGTGGTTCTGCCCGGCTCGGAGTCTAAGAGTAAACAGGGATGCACACTTGATGCTGGTTTGATGCTTGATTTCAAGACGAGAAGTTGCAGAGTGACCGATCATACGAAAAAAGATACGTATGTACGAAAGTCGACTAGGGTGGTTCTTTTGTTTTTAGGACCTCAGTGAATAGCAATAAATTAAGCTTAAAATGTCATTTACACTGTCTATACAAAGGACGGATACGTTTCCTAAGGACTCTTAAAATGTTTTTGGGTTGATAAATAGTTTCCCAAAAACATGTTTTTCACAAGTGAAATCTCACCAATTAATCGGCCAATCTGAGTTCGAGAATTTAAAAGATGTGGAACTAAAGCCATATTATAATTAGCTAATATATTATAATTAAATTCAAGATTCAAAACTAACTTAGGCCATATTCTGAATAATAAAAATAAAATATTTAAATCAGAACACTTTTCTAAACAACCACATTTTCAAATTAACAGTTAAGTCTTTCCTGTCTCATGGAATGTAACAAAATCAGTTCTATGCTTCAACCATCTATTATTACCTTTGGTTTTATCCAAGATACTCACTAATTATTACCTTTGGTTTTATCCAAGATACTCACTCTATTCAGGCTGAGTCAACGTGGGACTGTAGATATTTTAAATCTAGTTTTCGCCGGCACTAGGAAACGATCCCAAGCACTAGAAATCGACCCCCGGACTTCTGCGTGATAATCAGACACTCTACTGCTGATTCAGGATAAATTTTCGGCCTGTGTCTTTTTGTTCTTTCTCCTGTCTGTTTATGCGGCATCTAAATTTGATTTGTAATAAAAAGTGACTCGAACCGGATACTGTTTCCCTTCTGACGCTTTAGGTTTTGGCGTAATTTTTAGAAACGTAAATTGCATAATCAAAGTAGTATAATTAAAAATACAATAATTTGTGTTTAATGACAATTAAAAATTATTTTCAAGCATATCAATTAAATTAATGACTATTTAACTGGGAATAAGCCACAATTAAAGATAAAAATACGTTTATTGACGTTTCAATTTCCACTTCGGAAATCGTTCTCAAAATACAAACAGTAAATTAAACAAATTTTGTTTTTTGTTACCGGACTCATTTATATTGACAATTCAGACATACATTATGCATTTTAAAGTAGACGACTTTAAAATGATATTGCCAATATTGTTGAGTTGCGCTCCTGGGACGAGTTTACTTATAAGATAGTCATTCGATTACATGAAATCAACTTTAACTTGAGAATATCCGTCAGAAAAAATCATAGCATATAATTCGTCTTTAAAAAGACAAACACATGACATGATGACAGTAAAATTCTCCTATTAGTGATTCCATAGTAAATTATGAGGGAAAAACCAGGAAGAAAACCTCATAATACTATCCCGACATGGTAAGTATTTGTTCGTGCATTTAGTTTACCTTCGATAAACACCAAAATTCTGATTTTATATGTTTCGTTATTTAAAAAACATAAATGATGTATCCTCTATATGTTACTGACTTACTAATACTGGTATTTGACTGACTTACTAATAATTTGGTATTTTAGGACTACATTTGAATTATTCCATTAAACCCTATGTTCATTATCCCATGCGTGTTTACATATTTGAGATCTGTCAAATTCTCTATTTTTAATATAAGACTGATGTTCACTTATTCTAACATTTAATGGCCTTGATGTTTCACCTAAATAAAACTGATCGCATTCACAAGGTATTTTATAAATGCAATTCTTTGTCCCTTCTTGTTCATTGTTAGGTTTGGTTTTGGACAAAATAGATCTCAACGTGTTTGTTGTTTTGAATGTTGTTGAAATGTTGAATTTATTGCCTATCCTTTTAAGTTTTTCTTATAATCCTTTTGTGTACGGTATTGTTATTTTCCTCGTATTATTCCTTGTGTATGCTGTAGGATCTCGTTCTAAAATGTTCTGTTCTATTCGATCGATTGTTGAAAATTCCTTATTTATAAACGATAAAGGATAATCATTTTTTAATAAAACAGATGTTAACAAATGTTTCTCCTCCAAGAACGAATTTTCGTTAGAACAAGTAATTTTGGCTCTATCGTATTAGGATTTAATTATTCCCTTTTTTATATTAATATTGTGATTTGATTTGAAATTTAAATATCTATTGGTGTGTGTTGGTTTTCTATACACCTGAGTCTCATATCCAGTATCGTTCTTAGAGATTAAAACATCCGAGAAAGCTAGCGTGTTATTATATTCCTTTTCCATGGTAAATGTTATTGCCTCTTCTTTATCGTTTATATCATTTAGGAATGTGTCCAACAACAACAACTCTGATCCATGAGGCCATATTGAGAATACATCGTCTACATACCTCCACCATACTGTGGGTTTTAAATTTTGTTTAGAAATGATATTTGTTTCAAAATCATCCATAAAAAATATATTTGGTGTTTATTGAAGTTAAACTAAATGCACGAACAAATACTTACCATGTCGAGATTTTCCCTCATAATTTACTATGGAATCACTAACAGGAGAATTTTACTGTCATCATGTCATGTGTTTGTCTTTTTAAAGACGAATTTATATGCTATGATTTTTTCTGACGGATATTCTCAAGTTAAAGTTGATTTCATGTAATCGAATGAACTATCTTATAAGTAAAGTCGTCTCAGGAGCGCAACTCAATAATATTGGCAATATCATTTTAAAGTCGTCTACTTTAAAATGCATAATGTATGTCTGAATTGTCAATATAAATGAGTCAGATAAAATTAAATTATTAGAAGAATTTTTCACTATGTAACAAAAAACAAAATTTGTTTAATTTACTGTTTGTATTTTGAGAACGATTTCCGAAGTGGAAATTGAAACGTCAATAAACGTATTTTTATCTTTAATTGTGTTAGTTATATAGTAATTAATTTAAAATGCCACAAGAAAATAGCTTCAGAACAATATCAATTAAATGTTATAATTTACTAATACATTTTTATTTTTCAGGTAGTTCAATATCAGGTTGTATAGCGACATTGATCCATGATGGTTTTATGAATCCTGCAGAAGGTATATTTTTATTTTATTTTATACATTATTACACATTTATGCTGATATAAGTACATATTATTTATTAGTGCAACATCTCACTTTGTTACCTATATAATTTTAATACAAAATTAACAAGGCGGGTGTTTTCCCGATGGGTACTATTAAATTCCCATGTAACGTTTACGTCGGATATACCTTTGAATGGATAATTCTAATATATCCAATTTATTAATAATCAAAGGAAGTTATATTATCTATTACCTTAAAATCTCTCTCTTCAATACTGACCCCCCGAAGAGAGTCTAGTGGTCATCGTGATGTGTCTTGTCCGTCTCCAAAGATAAGAATAAGAGCAATATCGTTCCTTTGAATATGATTTCATACCAACACGTTTCATTGTACTAGCCAGTTTCTTTGTAATACACATCTTTGAGGATACGTGAACGATTATATTGTGACTATACATAAGATTCATAAAAACTACGTTTGATGATATAGTTTTGTTTGATATATATGATTGATATATTGATTGAAATAGTTTTATTCTTATTATAAAGAAACTTATGTGAGGATAATTATATAATTACCACCATGATATCACATAATTTTGCACGCGGAAATCTTATAAGAATAGTCTTTCGGTTATAATATGAAGCAGTAAAATCGATGTAGTGATCACCAATCTGTTGAATAGGATACATTTGGCACAAACTATAACATAAAACAATGTTACTACCTATTCGGTCAAGTAATTGGACCATCAAATTCTCATATGATCATATGAAAGTAAAAAAGTATTTTACTATTTAACATACTCTCCTTTCAATTGGATACGTTTATTACAACTAACCTGCAACACCTCTGTACCTTTAAAAAAATTGTTCTTGTTCTGCAATCCAATCATCCATAGGTACTATTATTTTTCTTTACGAGATTTACCAACTTTTAGACCTTTTTTTCTTGAGGAAAGACTTGATAGTCGGATAAAGCCAGATTTTGTGAATAAGGGTATTCTCGACTAATTCTAACCCTAAAACCACGAATTGTTTGAGTGGCAACATGTGATTTGTGTTCTGGGGTATTGTTCTGGGGTTGTATGAACGAACTAATAAAAACGAAACACATTCAGAAGGAAACATGGGCAGACTACTTTCAATTCCTATATGCTAAAGGTGGCGATAATGAACCACCAATACTAGAAGTGATGATAAACGAAGAAATAACCATTGAGGAGGGAGAGGTAAAGTAAGCATTAAGGAAATTAAAAAATAGAAAATCACCAGGAGAGGACAGAATACCGAATGAGGATCAGATCTGACCAAACAACTGTTAAAACTAATTCAAAATATAATAGAACAAAACAGAATACCACAATAAAGGAGACCAAGCATCCTAATACCTATCTTCAAAAGGGTGGAGGCAAATCGGACCCGGAGAACTACTGAGGAATTAATTTATTAAACACAACACTAAAATTAATAACCAAAGTGATAACAAAAAAAAACTGAATAAAATTACAGCTATGCCTGCCACACTACCAGATGATTCCCTGAGTCCTCTATTGTTCAACCTGATCATGGATGAAATAATAAAAAAAGTAAGAACTAAAAGGTTAACAAATTGCTGAAAAACAACTTAAAATTATCTGCTATGCAGACCACGCAATACTAATCTGTCAAAGTGAAGATGATTTACAACATATACTGTACCAATTTAATATAACCGCCAAAAAATTTAACATATTAACTTCCCAAAAAAAAAAGACAAAATGCATGGTTATAACAACAAATCTACTAAGATGTAAATTAGAAATGAAGGGTCAAATAATGAAGTTGAAATAAAAATATCTGGAAAGAATGAAAGGCAGAATTTATAAAACAGTCATCAGACCAATAATGACAAACGCGACAGAAACACGAGAGAGAACAAAAATAATGCTAGAAATAGCCGAGGTTAAAATCTCTAGAGAAATCGGTGGTTAAATACTATGGGACAGAGCTAGAAGTCCAAATATACGACGTAGATGCAAGATGGAGAACATCAAGACTGGGTAAGAATAGAATAAGTAATAGAAGAGTAGGTTGGACTGATCATATAAGTCGAATGACAACAAAAAGAGTAGTGAAGACGGCGAGAAACGGTTCCCTATCAGGAAGATGATCAGTGATAAGACCACGAGAACGAAGGAACTACAACTTACTGGAGGCACATTGAAAAACAGACATAGTCATGTCTACACAAAATGAAGAAGAAGAAAAAGAAATATCTTTGGATAACTTTCCGCGCCCATTTCCAAAAATTGTTTCTCGTATTCTTCTCAGTAGCGCAGAATATTAATTACCAGTTATTCGTCTGCACTTATTCAGAAAAATTAATCATATATTTGCTGGCAATCCCAAAATTGATAAGGATTCCGTACCGGTCTTCTCGACGAGCATGCCGTATGTACGAAATATTTATTGTTATAATAGTTTTGAACACAGCTTCGTTGAACTGCATCGATGTCAGGATATTCGGGGCATATTTCTAAGCAATCACATCTCAAACGCCTTTAGTCGATTGATCGTATCAGCTTTCAGGGTCCAGGTCTCGGTGCTATGTAAAAACTTCTTTTTTTAGTGCCGTCTCCACTAATGAAGGTTGGCTATAACCATTGCAAATTCGTCTCTATCTTCTGCTTTTCTTAAGAGCGTCTGTGTGTTTAACCCGGTCCAGTCGCAAATGTTTTTCAGCCAGGATATTTGTCGTCTACTAGGACCCCTTTTTTCTTCGATTTTACCCTTCATATTCAGCTGCAACAACTCATGCTTCTCATTTCTAAGTATGTGTCCCAAATACGCTGTCTTCCGCTTTCTGTGCAACACCATTTCGTTCGTAATATGATCGGTCCATGGTATCTTCAAAATTCTCCTAAAAAGTCACATCTCAAAAGCTTCCAGTTTTCTCATTAAATCATTAGCAGTCCAGGCTTCGACACCATAAAGAAGAATAGAGTGGATATAAAATTTTACCATCCGATATCGGATTTACAGATTGAATCTTTGGTTACTTAGAAATTTTGTTCATCTCCAAAAAGGCTGCTCTTGATTGCTCTATTCTTGAGCAAATTTCTGATTTCGGATTCAGATCTTCCGTAATCCAGACTCCTAATTATTTCATTTTATCCACTTGCGCAATATCTTCATTTTTTATCTGGATCCTTGTAATGACTTTGCCCCTCTTACTGATAACCATGGTTTTTGTTCTGTTTATGTTTATTGTTAAACCAAACTGTTCCCCAGTATCACAAATTGTGTTTAGCAATGTCTGCAGGTCTATCTCACTTTCATAAGTATAACGGATAATATGAATATAAATAAGCATAACAGATGTTATTTATATTTTCACCATTTATCTTGATCCCTTCTGTACAGTTTTCAAGTGCTTGCGTAAATAACTTTTCGGAATATATATTAAATAGTAATGGTGAAAGTACACAGCCCAGGCTTACTCCTCTACTTTTCTATTGCGCATCCGGGCTATTTCCATCTGATGTTGTTACCACAGCCTGTTGGTTCCAATACAGATTTCTGACTATGTTAATGTCATTTTTGTCGAGTCCTTTTCTCTTTAGACATTCCATGAGAATGGAATTTTTGTTGGTCTCGACATTTTTGGGCAAGAGTTGTGAAACTATACCGAGCTTCCACTGTTCCGAAGCCGCTTCGCACTTTCTGAATATTCTTGCATGTCTACTCTTTAAAAATGTTTTTAATAAGTGTAACCTTAAGCTGATTAATCTAGTCATTACAGTGTTTGGGGTTCTTGGTTTTTGGTCGCGGAACAAAGGTCGACAGCAGCCATTCTGCAGGTATCTCACCAGATTTGTATATGCTGTTAAAGAGTATAGTTATTGCACTTAAATTGTCTTCGTCTATAAGTTTAATCAGCTCGATATAAACTTCATCTTTCCCAGGGGCTCTGCCAGATTTTGAGTTGTTTATTTCATGTTAGACTTCAAATTTTAATCAGATAATATTATTGGAGCTTCCTTGTTATCAATTTGTGTTGTTTCCGTTCTTGTGTCCATGAAAAGATCTTCAATATATTTAGTCCATATTTGTTTTATTTCAATTGGGTTATTAATAGGTTTATTGTTTTTGTCAATTATTCGGTTACGTGTATTTGTTCGTGATTTTCCAGATAATTCTTTCACCTTTTTATGTAAATTATAATGATCATGCTTTTTCTGCAATTCTTCCACTTCGATGCATGTTTCCATCATCCACTTTTCCTTAGCTTCTTTGATTTTGTTCCTTATTAATTTATGTTTTTCTCTGTACTTATTTGGGTTTTTGTTTCTATATTTTCTTCTTTGTTCCATGATTTCCAGTATTTCTTGAGTCTTCCAAGGTTTTCGGCTTTCTGTTTTCTTTTGTAGAGTTTCTTTCTGTGTTTTTATAACAGACTCTTCGATTTTGCTCCACATAATGTTCACATTCTCAGTGTTTTTGATTTCTGATGTTAATTTCTTTATTTCTTGATTGATACAAGTTGAAACCTTAGAACGGATTTCATTTATCTTGAGTAACTGATTGTTCACCTTAGAACTTTTGGATTTTATTATCTTTTTTACCTTCAGTTTTTTTATTTCTAATCTTAAATTGGTTAGAATAAAGTCGATCTGATTTCTAATCTAATTTTGTTCATTATGCTGTGGTGACCTCCAGGTATACAGTCTACGGGGTGGTAATCGAAACCATGTGTACATAATCGCCAGGTTTTCTTCTTGACAAAATTGAGCCAATCTGTCGCCTCTAGCATTCCTTATTCCTAAACCATGATCACCTATTATAAATTGTCGACTTGGCCTTTTCCTATCTTTGCATTTAAATCACACATTATTTTAGTAATTTCTTCCTTTCTTGTGCATTGTATAAGTTGTTTGAGTTCTTCATAAAAATGTAACAACACTGACCAAATACAGTATTTGATCATTCTTTGACGTAATTTTAGGTTTAAGCTGTGGTCACAGAAGA